GCAAATAAATCAAACAGTTTCGAAACTTGAATTGAAAAACAGTAGTATGATATAGCCGATTCTGAATTCTGATACCTGAGCCAGCTGAGCCTCCGCCACCACCACCTCCGCAACAGCGTACGTGCGTGACGTAATTATATCCCTCCTCCCCGCAGCCGCCTCCGAAGAGTACGTACGGGCGGTGGAGACTCATTTGCGCACATATTAATATATTTTTTAAATTTACGACAACTCATTTGCGCACAAAATAGTAAACAATGAAAACCAGCTTTTAGGTACAGTTTTGGGTGTACAGGGTGTACACGTTCAATATTATTGATATCAATGATCACCCGTTATTGGAGTATCTTCAATATAGCCTTATATAGTCTTAAAGCATAAAGTGATTTCACATCAGTTATTATCTATCAAAAATGGCATTAATACACGTCAAGTACACTAGTCGTGTGGGACAAGCGTGTTGGTTCAGGCGTTTGAAAAAAAAAATAAAACATTACTAAAAGAATACTCAAAAAATGATTCGGAAATCGGAAGGTGGTTTAAATATTTTTTTGGTTTACCTTATCTAAACTCTGATGAAGTTCCGGACGCATTTACGGAGCTAATCTCAATAGCTCCTAGTAATATATTAAGTATGGATTTTCCAGACTATATTTTAAAAAATTATACTGATTTTGATGATGATTTTGGGCCAGAATTATGGGCTAGTGCACCAGACGATAGCCCTAGAACAACAAACGGAGCTGAAAACTTTCATATGAACTTTAATAGCCAATTTTATACCCCCCACCCTCATATTCACAAAATCATACAAATACTCATGGAAATTCAAGTCGACACCGATTTAAAAATAAACTCATTAAAAAAAAATAAGGAAAACACACGTAGGACAGAAATATTAACAAAACAAAATTTTTTGAAAAAAATATATTCAGATTACCAATCTAAAAAAATTGATTTATAACCTATTTGATGCAAACGAGTACCAATAAATATTAAATATTATGTATTAACTGTAATTTATGAAGATTGTAAATTTTAATGACTTTTGTAAAAATTAATAATGATTGTACCTAATTTATTGTAATTTGTAAATTTTAATGACTTGTAAAAATAATTGTACCTATTTTATTGTAATTTGACAAAATTTTAATGACTTGTAAAAATGATTGTACCTACCTAATTTATTGTAATTTGACAACATTTTGAATAATGTGTAATAGCTAAAACAACATTTTTAAGCCCGCCAGTCTATAACATCAGAATATGATGAGACAGAAAGTCCTAAGCCTTTTAAAGGGTGAAGGAAAATGTTGTTTGAGTATAATAATTATTAATTGTCCACTATCAGTATTGACCAAATCGAAAATATGGTGGTACGGAGATTATGTACACCCTATACGTGGATAAAATTCTTGGAAAAAAGGTTTCTATTGTTAGTAAAATGTGCGCAAATGAGTTATGTTTTTGTGCGCAAATGAGTTGTAAAAAAGGTAAATGTGCGCAAATGAGTTGTAGCCGTACGGGCAGGGAAATTTTAAAACATGTCACGGCGCATTTAACATTTGACAATCTTATCAGTTATCATATAGGATAAATGATATTTGAAATTATAGTCAACAATATTGAATTGGCCAGTTAATAACTAATAATACTAGTAATACCATGTAATACTAAAGACCAAAATCAAATAATGAATAACAGCAGAACGCCAGAACAAATTGAACAAATTCAAATTTGTTATCATTTATCTTATATATGATAACTGATAAGATTGTCAGATGTTAAATGCGCCGTGCACATTGAACTATATAATATATTATTACTATATTATATAGTTCAATGGCCGTGCAAGGGGTGGCCATATCATTCTAAAAGTGAAGCGAAAACGGGGTACTTGCAGTGCAACCATCATATGAAAAATAAATTGTTGTAAATATACTAACACATTATTTTATTTCGAATAATAAAAATTAATTTTAAAATACGAAGAACAAATTTTACAAAAAAATATATATACTAGTGGTTCTTATTATAATATACAAATATATAATAATATTATGGTGAAATGTAATATTTTCGTTTTCATTTTTTTGTTTCTGAGTCCGAGCGCACAAAATACAGTTGACCATGATGATTTTAGGCTAGACTCGCGTTACTCACAATTTTACAAAATTTAAAATACAGTTAAAAATTATAATTATAATTAAAATTATAATTTTTAATGCTAATCAAACATTAATCATTTCTTATCAGTTATCACCATAGACCATAGAGTAATAAAATATAATGTCGATTATCCATTTAATTTCATGGTCGAAAACGCCATCTAGTGTTCACTAGAGTTGTAAGAGGGGTACAATGGCGTTCAATTTTGCTTCGATTTGATAATCATAATATCTGCCTAATGCCGCCTCTATAGTTTTATTACTCTACTAGCTCTAAGTATAACTCGGGGCCCGTTGGAATCGCTGAGAGTGGGTACCTATTTTGGAGACAATGAATTATAAAAGTCGCAAAGGTTGTAAGACGAAAGTTTAGGATTTGTGATAAGGATTAGTGATATAGATTGGAGATAAGGCTAGACGCTTTGGCGGGAATGTTAAAAGTTTGAGTGTCTAGCAATCCGTCACAAACGTTGTAAATGGATAGGCTGGATACGATCTCCAGGATCACCTATATAGAGTATAGCTGCACATAGAGTGGTATGTGCCGTAGCATGAACGGTGCTTTATCTTATGTAAAAAGTGTAAAGTCGAAAACCGTGTTGGAGTTTCTAGCAAGTCAGTCATCTCAAGTCAAAATCTATTAACTTTCAAGTTAGCCACTTAGGTAGGCAATCCGACTTCGTCGGATCGCGGACTATGTGCCACAGCAAATCAGGTAGGCAATCCACCTGCGGTGGATTGCAGACACGACATCAAGCGGCTATAAGTGAAAACCCTATCACACAACTTACGAAATTATTTACGAAAAATTCAAACTATATACATACAAACAAATATGATATGTATTTATTGTGTGATATAATATAACAATGAACATTTTGAGAAATGTGCAATTATAATTCCTAAAAAATATTAACATATAGGTAGGTAGTTAGATACATACTATTATATTAACCAATACATATAAACATGTACCTATAGTGTATATATATTAATTTAAAAAAAAATTGCAAAAACCGGCATGTTATTTGTTAAAGTGTCTATCAAGTCAATCATCACCGTTTAAGACGAAACTAAAATGAGCAATCCGTCTATCACCTATATATAGTAGGTATATCACATAGAGTGGTATGTGCCTTCGCATGTCCGGTGCCTTTTCTTATGTAAAAAGTGTAAAGTCAAAAACCGTGTTGGAGTGTCTAGCAAGTCAGTCATCTCAACTCTCAAGTCAAAATCAAGATTAACTTTCAAGTTAGCCACCTAGGTAGGCAAACCGAAATAAAATACAAACTATATTTATATAACAATCATGGAAATTTTAAAAAATATGCAATTATAATAATTCCTAATAAATTCCTAATAAAACAAATATAATATGTACCTATTTATTGTGTGATATAAAATGATAATGACTTTAAATAATAATAATGTACGATATGTTCCTGTATTATTATATTATTATTTAATTCATATGAAAAATAACGTGAAAAAAAAATGCAAAAAAAATCGAAATTCGGGCGGCCGTGTAAACCATATGGCATTAACGGTTTCAATGCCTGGAAGGCGTTCGACGGATTTGAACCCGGGACCTACGTGTTTCCTACCTAACGCCTAACCTACTCGGACACAGTTTGAGATATGAAAGACAGTGAAAACATCAACAATTAAGCCGTGCGACTACGGAGCGACGTAAACCGATATATTCGATGTACATCGATGTAATCGCATATAATTCGCTTGTAATACGCGCATCTCCCATATATATATTTAACGGGGCGTGTGAAAAGCGTTTTCCGTTAATAATTATTAAATCATAAGGAAAAATTAAATTATACACGTATATACATGTATATATACGCGTGCGGCCGGTTGGTCGCCGGCGTAATTTCCAAACGCGATTGCGAGGAGAACGAACCGATTTTGGGGGAAAAGCGCATATAAACGGCTTCAAAAAGACTCGATTCGGGCACAAACGGGTGCGAATAGACGAAACGGTGGGAGAAAAGGAAAATATCGGCAAAAAAGTCCTGTCGGAGTGTATTTATTGATCGACATTGCACGAATATAAACCGCACACCGGTGGCTTCGAATTAAGTATATAGAAGGGCGAAAAGATATCATGTAAAAACAGCTAATTTTCCGAAAATCGGCGAAATGATAGGAAAAGAGGTGATAACGAAAAACGTTTTAAAACCGACCGCCGCCACTGCGAAGGTACGCGATTGGTCGCGCTATAAGGAATCGACGGGATACGGCCGGCGGGCTGGGGAAACGGAGCAGTGCTTCATTTTTTACGCCATGGGTTCGCTATAGCCGGCGTTTTCCTTTCCATTGGTACACTATAGACAGCTGATTTCCTTGTCATTTTATATATTAGGATGGCGCCGTGACATGTTTTAAAATATCGCTAACGGGCATGCTGTGTTATCATTTATATTATATTATTTTTCCAGTAGTCCATTTTACAATCCACCCCCCGCCAGCCTAAAAATTGATAAGCCTTCGATTGCCAATGACGACAATAACAAATAATATTAATATTATTAAAAGTTAAAACTATTAATTACAAATGCTATAAATACTACATTTATATTTAAAAGTATTACATTAATAGAAACAATTTTTTTTTTATGATTAAATTGTTGTCTTCGAAATAATTACACTTATGAAATTAAAAATATGTTATGTACATTGTACCCAGTTCATTCAAAACAATTTAAAGATTTCACTGTGATAATACAAACCTATTATTGGTGAATTACTTTCATAAATGTTATAATTTTTATTTTATAGTAATGTTGAATAAAAATTAGGTAACAATTTCTTAATAAAATGAATACTTGTGCTTGTAATTATAAATTAATTAATATACTTACTTTGAATTCAAAGTATCACCAAAACACATTTTTGTCTTCGCACCGTAAGTTATTATTAAGTTATAATATAATTCTAATAAATGAATAATTAATTAAATTGTGATTTAGATATTTGGTCCAAGTATCAACATGTAATTCTGCCACGATCAGTTTCTAATAGTTCTGTTAGAACTGAGAAAAGCCGATTAAAACAGCTCTTAATAAAATCTTTAAAAATTGCTTCAATGGCTTTTGGTGTATCATTAATAGCACTTGGAGGATATTCACTAGGTTGTATATTTTTTCTTATTATTTTTCAATATGTACTTGTTCTTAAAATTAAGAATTTAATATATTACTTTAATAAAAACATAAAATAATATTAATGATAATTTTAGTTTATATTTATAAATAAATTAGTTATAATTGCATAAACAAATTCTAAAATTGTATAGTCAAATGTGTTTGGCTTAATATTTTTCCCTGTTGTAATTAAGCAAACCTTCATCTTAATATTCATGTTATACGTCTATTAATATCATAAATGTTCTAGGTCTACATTATTGGGGGGGGGGGGGGACTTAAGCTCACGCCAACATCTGCCTATGCGTAGCCACATTGTATTTTATCCCATTTAATCAATTTTGATCTTAATTTTTTTTTACAAATTTCATGTGAAATAATTACTGTGACATTAGAATAGAATTGGTAGAAATCATTAGTTCACACTCATGGTATTTAAAAACGGAATCCGACATCTCAATTTTAATTCTAGTATTCTACCATCAATTTTTAATGAATCTTATAGATGCACAATTTATTAGATTTTATTAAAATCATTGAGGGAAATTTTTAAGTAGGTATACTTAATACTTATTTCAAAAACCTAATAACTTAAGGAATAAATTGTTTATTTTTGCTAAAATCGTAGTGTTTGAAGATGATGAATTAGTTCAAAAAGGAAACAAAAATATTCCACTCATTATTAAAATCTATGAACGAATATGTTTTAGAATAGAATTTTATCATAAGGTATGTTATATTTTTAGATTATATTACAAATTATAGCATTGATTATATAATAGTACTAGTTATGATTATAAATTCATTAAATTCCTTGATTATAATTTTGTTTTTACTTAAATGTATATTATATTAATTAGGTGTTTACAATACCTGCAACCAAAAAATTATTACCTGATTCATTACCAGATTATTATGATAAACCTCAATATACACTTGTGTTAGAGATTACTGATCTTCTTGTACATCCAGAGTGGAGTGTAAGATAATAGTACTCTAATAAATTGAATGTTTTTAATTATAAATTAAATTGTATTTTCAGTACAGTACAGGTTGGAGGTTTAAAAAGAGGCCAAATGTTGATTATTTTTTGGAAAGAGTTGGAAAGATTTTTGAAGTAGTTGTTTACACAGCTGAAAATGGTTATGTATGTTAGTTTTTGTATTAATGTATATTATTTGGACTTATTAAAATGTATTTCGTATGTATATTGTTTTGTTATTAAAGATTGCTTCTCCGATATTAGATGAAATTGATCCTAAAGGTTGGATTCAGTATCGCTTGTCACGTCAATGTACTGAATTTCGAAATGGTCAATTAGTAAAAAATATTGAAAGAATTAATCGTGATTTATCAAAAGTCATTGTAATAGATTGGAATACAAGTTGGACACAACTTCATCCTTATAACACACTAATTATACCTCGATGGAATGGTGATGAAAATGACAACTCGCTTATTGACCTTGCAGACTTCTTAAAAGGTTTTTTTACAACTTCCAAATAAGACATTTTTTTTTTTTGAACGTGACTTATAAATGTTCTTATAATTAAATAATAATTCTTTATGTAAAATTATAGTGGTATTTGAAAAAGAAGAAAAAGATGCAAGAGACATTTTAAACAGATATAAAAAATATGATGATCCTATAAAGGCATTCCGAGAAGATCAAAGAATATTAAAGGTAAAATTATTATATCAAATTCTATTTCTATTTTATTGCAATTGATATTTAAAGTCCATATTTTTACTAGTATGAATAACTTTGTAATTGAAAAGTAAAACAAGTGTTATAGCCTATAGGTTATAAATCAATTATCTTTGAAATTTAATTTTTTTTAGGAAGAAACCAAGGATGAAGAAGAAAAAGAACAGGAAATAAATAAAATAGAAGATAATAATAAATCATGGTTTTCATGGATACCGTGGATTTATTGAATAAAGATTTATAATATATATCAAAAACACACAATACAATTTTTTATACACTATGTATGCTTTGTGTGTATGTTAATAAGCATGTGGCATACCTTATACCAGTGGTGCGCAACCCTTGGGGGTCGCAAAATTTTATTAGGGGGTTGACAGTAATTTTACACCAAATGAAAAAGTTTTATTATATATATATTATTTTATAGTTTTATACAAAGTAAAATTATTTTGTACCGTCGATGGCTGAGCCAATTGTAATATTATGTCATATCTTAATGTTGCAATAACAAGTTCTATTGAATCACGCAGTATATGGGTTATTTTTAAATTGAATTTAATAGCAGTAATTTTAAAAGCTTAAGTTCTAGAAGTGTCTTCAAATATAATTTTTAACCATTGTATGATTCATAGAGAAGCTTTAGCTTCCAAAAAACTTCAACCAGATGTTAATAATGTACTCCTTAATGCTATAAGTGTAATATATTTTATAAAACCAAAGTCATTAAATTCCAGACTTTTTCCTATACTTTGCAATGAAATGGGTTCTGACCATGAATAATTGCTTCTTCATACTGAAGTAAGGTGGTTGTCTCGTGGTAAAATATTATCACGCCTTTTTGAACTCAGAGATGAAGCACAAATTTTTCTTCTGGAATGTAATAATACACTTTCGGAACATTTTTTAGACGAGCAATGGTTTGCAATTCTGGGTTATCTTGCAGATATATTTGAAAAACTAAATTGTCTAAATTTAAGCCTACAAGGGAAAAATACTAATATTTTATTTCTTTCTGATAAAATCAATGCTTTTAAAAAGAAAATTCTTCTGTGGAAAAATTATATTGACAATGACAAATTTTAAATGTTTTCATGTTTATCAGAATTCCTCAGTGATAATAATGTGGATATTAATATGATAAAAGAAATTATAACTACTCATCTAATAAGTTTACAAGCAAACTTAAATGCACGGTTTGAAGATTTCCCAGAAGAAAGTCTAGGTTGGATAAGAAATTCATTTCATTTTAATATCAATGAAATAAAATTAGGAAATTTAAAAATAAGAGAAGAACTTATTGACTTGTCATCAGATAAATGTTGTAGCTGATTTAAGAGTAGCAGTGTCAAATATCAAACCAAACACAAAATCAATCATGTCCACAGTGGAAGCTCAGGTCTCTCATTAAAATAATTAAATACTAATTTTATAATTTTAAAAATATTAAAATTTTGATTATCATTATAATAATACATTTTTTAATTTTAGATTTTATAAAATTCTAATTTTGTATTATTTTCTTTCATGTTTTTGGTTAATTAAATTAAAGAAATATTAAAATTGCCTAAAATTAACGATTTAATATATATGAATAAAATGTGTGTATACAAGACTATTAAATAAATTTATATTATACACTTACATAATGTTGGTAGGAAGGGGGTCGTATTATGAAAATAAATCATTTTGGGGGGTCGTGGATCAAAAAAGGTTGCACACCACTGCTTTATACCATGTGGATTTTAATAATTGAACAGAAACCAAAGATTAAGTTGGTTTTAACCATAATATTGATCATATATTTTTGTATCTTTATTTTTATTTTCAACTAATATATTTAATATACATATTTATTTATATAATACAAGCTAGTATCACAGATAGTATAAATTGTATTCTATATTATATTTTACACTTATTTGCACATACTCAAAATACATAATCAGATGTGGGTGCTGCATCATTTACTAATTTTTTATGATATTCATATATTGTTATTAATAGTTGATTTGTTGTCATGGTTTAAATTCTTAATATTTTGGATACTTTATATGTATTATCATAGACTATGATATTCTACTTCTTAAAGGTCTTACAATATTATAAGTATAAACATACCATACACATGTTATAAGTTATTTATACCTTGTATATAAGTATATTTATCATTTTAATTTAGTTATTGTTGTACCCATGGCTAAATATATTTAGCCATGGTTGTACCTATAGGCTATAGCAACGTTTCTCAACCTGTGGTACGTAAAAAGCTCATAGGTGGTACGTAAAGAAAATCTCGTTTTATACAAAGTGATTCACCAAGCATGCTCACCCCCTTTTTCTCTTCAATAATCTATCCAAGGTGGATGCATATCCATATTATCAGGGTATAGACACTCTGTGTATTGGCAAAATCGGGTGACTGTGGCCTTGAGCACGGTCTCTAAGGGGGCGTGGCATATGTTATCATTTAAATAAATCATATCAATATTATCAGTCTACAGAATAATAATACAATATATTATTATTATTATTTCATTAACAATAAACCAATGTAAAATTACATTATAGTTTTTAATTTATATTAAAACAAAATACTTATTCATTTTACCAAAATTTAATATTGATATACTTAAAATATGAAAAATAAATTATTTATCCTTATTAATCGTTTATAAAAATTCCGTAACAAAGAGGGATACACGTTGCTAACGTTCTATCAGATTACGGATACGGTACAACTTTTATAGTCCAATACATCATACCGTAGGGATACGTAAACCCTCACAGCTGATCGAGTGTCTATTCTATATTGTTCTGTGATATTATATAATCTTATATTATCTAAGTGACTATGTATATATCCACCTTGGGTCTATCATTATGCTATCATGATTACCAGGTGCCGTATTTTCGTTTCGGGTAAACGGCAGCACTGCTTCCGCATACTGTGTTGTGGATTGGCTGGTCGACGGCGAAGGGCCAATTCGTGGTTGCTGTCTGACGTTTGCGCGCTGTCTCATACTCTCATTGGTGACGAGTATTTCGGCCAATCGTTGGAATAATCTCCGGACCAATATCCCGCTGTCCAATGTAAGTTCGCACAAAACTTTATATGCTTGTCAAAATGCACGCGTTAACCCGCCACGGTACTCCCGGACTCTTCGTTATGTGCTTTGACCTCGACTGGAGAGCCTGGAACCCGAGTCCTACGACGACATTGTCGGCCATCCCTCGTAACGACGAGTTTGTTTCGGAAAATCCGGACTCTCGTCTTGTCTCGCTTCCGGTCGCCCCGTGATCACATCATCACCCCTCCTCAACCCACCACGACCTTAGTTCGTCAGAATTATAATTTTTTTTTGTCGGAGATAAATTGTTGTATTCCCGTTGTTAAGCGGATTAATATGAGCCCGATAATGACTGTACAGTTTTCAGTGGAACCCATCAGTCATGGACCAACAGATCGGCTCAGACGGACACATGACCGTCGTCCAAGCGATCCCGACGTCCAACAATCAAGTGCAAGTCGTCCAGGCTGGCCAGGTTATACAGAGCGCTAATGGACAGCAGATCGTCGTGCATGCCGTGCCCCAGAATGGCGGTCAGTCGGTACACTTGGGTTCGCCAGGCAACCAACAGTTACAGCTGCTCCAACTGCCTGTACAAGTATGCTCATATTGTCTTTTTGCACCTCTTCTGTGTGTTTGCAGTGTTAATGTTTATCTTTACAATGGTCCTTAATTTAGCAGCAGGCGCAAGCACAGTTGATTCAGACACCCGATGGACAAACGTTTATTTACCAGCCCGTACAAGTCGACAACAGTCAATCGATTGCCCAACAACAAACCCAACCAACATGTATGTTTCACTCTGTGTATATTATTTTTATACTTAAAAGTAACGATAATTGTAATTATTACTTACCATATTTTCAGTAATAAGCATCAATGGAAATATCATGCAGTTATCCAGTCCACCATCTGGTGGTTCTCCAACCGTCACTCAAACGGCTACTACTGTAGCACAAGGAGTTCCTCAAAATCAACAGAACATTGTTATGGTAATATATTGATACTCATAGATTTAGTTTGAACAAACATTTTTATGTTCTACTTCCCGTTAAGAACTTATGTTGCCTTTACTATAATACTATTCCATCTTTGCTGTTTTATATTCTCATTCCTTGAAGCTTCAATTATTCAGATTTTTTATTTATCCAACATTGATTCTCCCACCTCTTAACTTTTCTTCATGACATTTGTTTCCTTTATCATGTCTATTTTGATGGAGTCACTGGATCTATATATGTGGCCAGTGCATTAGTCTTTTTTTCATTAAGTATGTAATTATATTACGCTTATTGATGACTTTGTATCTATTTTTTTTTTTTATTGTTCTTTTCCTGTTTTTACCATTTTCCAACTTTGATCCATATATTATTCTTTTCAATACCTACTTTCCTGTTCAAGATACTTAGTCGGCCACCTGTTGAAAAGTATGATATTCAACAACTAAGTCTGGGTTTAACGTCTAGTTCCAACGTTGTTTTGTCCTCAAAAATACACTACAGCAGGCATTTAGTCAAACTCAAAGTTTGAACTGGGCCGCATATATTGAATAGTTCACTATGTGTACACATTTATCAAAAAAAAAAAACATTTTATACAAATTTTTAATTTTACTCATTACTTACAATACTATACAATATTTATTCAATTGCAGTTTATCGAAAGATAAAAAATAAAAGTAACATATGTATTGTTTGTAATAAAAATATTCAGTGCAATTTTCATGTATCTACAGTTATTCGTTTTTGAATTATAACAAAATAAGGAAATCGCTACATGAGAAATCGAGTGAATATCCAATATTGTAAAAATTTGAATTTCAAACGCTCATAAAAATTTAATTCGACTTTCTTGTAGACATTTTTTTTTTGATAAAGGTAGATAATCTTATAAGGAATTTTGTATTACATTTTAAAACCTTAGATTTAAAAAGAAAAAATTTTACGAATTCTTAACTCAAAATAATTTGCTCAGAAAAGCTACTGTTGAAGAAAATCCAAGCACTTTTACTGTCCTAAAACGTGATGACAGACACAAAAAAAAAATGAAATAAAAAAATAAAAAAAAAACACATCATTGTAAAATCAATAAATTCATCGTTACACTCAGAATCTAAAAGTAATTAATTAATTAAATAAATTAGGTAGGTTGGAGACTCCTGTAATATACTATTGTATGCCTGTTTTTAATCAATGAGACACATGCTAACTTCTCTCCCATATAAATGACAGACAGATGTCATTGGAAAGATATTATGGTAATTTTATCAGATTAAATTATATATTTTATTGTAGATGGTGCCAAATGGGAATGCTCCCAATAATACTCAATTTCAGAGAGTACCCACAACAGCAGAGTTCCTTGAAGAAGAACCTTTGTACGTAAATGCTAAACAGTACAAAAGAATACTGAAAAGAAGGCAAGCACGAGCAAAATTAGAAGCAGAAGGGAAGATACCAAAAACTCGACAAGTAAGCTACATATTTTTGAAACTTCAAAATAATATTAAATTTAATCAAATATTTTTCTTTTAGAAATATCTGTATGAATCACGCCACAAACATGCCATGAATCGTATTCGAGGAGAAGGTGGCCGTTTCCATTCAGGATCACTGAAGAGAATGAGTATGGCAAGTAGTAAAAATATGCAAAATGATGACTGTAACATTCGAATGGACAACCATAGTTATCATGTAACTATTAAACGCCAAATTGATGATGAACAAAATTTGCAATCGCATAATGGATTAGTTTATAGCATAAGTGGCTAATAAAAAACCGATTTTCTCAATTGAACTAAGAGTAATGTGTTAACTGTTAAATTTAAAGTGTTTTTTAATTAACTTAATTACTTGTAACTTTTTTAAGACTACATTTATTATTTACTTTTTTCTTTTAGTTAATTTTATTGAACACTGTAGTCACCTCACTTAAGTACCTTTATGAGATAATCATTAATTTTTTTTTTTTTTAATTGAATAATTAAGTTTCCAACCCTTTATATGTAAGTAGATTTTTTTTTAAATGTACATATTATTTATAAATAATTAAATGAATAAAATATTATTTTTTTTTTATGATGTCTTAAAACATCTCCTTATTGAAGAAGTTAGTATATAGAAAGTATAATGATAGATTGGCTAAAAAAAAATGGGTAAGTGGAAGTCTCTCTGCTGTACAGTAGGATAAGTGTTACTGTAATGGATGTTGTTAAATTTGAATTCAATGATATAAATCATTGTACACGAAAAACATGAAGACTGTCTTATCAGACTATAATATTACCAAGTATATTTTATGATATTGTGATTGAAGTAATTTATTTTACTATTAGGCATTAATACAAAGGTTGGTTAAATTTAAAAATGTCATTATGTGTATAAAACATAATAATATCCTCTAAAAGTTTTGTACAACCAGTGTTGGTTAGGTTACTATAACGAAATAACTTTTGCAGTAACTCTAGTAATTTCATTATATTTTATTTAAATTAATGCAATTGTAAAAAAAATGCTTTTTAAAAGTAATATCTATAAATAACGTTTTATTTTCCACGTCTTTAAAATGAGTAATATATGTAGAGCATATGAAAACTAGGGGCTAGGGTATTCGAAAAAATTAAAATTTATTTACAATTCCAAAAGTTTTAGATAATAATATTACCTATTAAAGATCCCAGGAAGATACCCATACAATTCATATAATAGTTAATACTTTAGTATACCTACTACTCATTAGTCTTTGTGAACAGATTTTGTAATCAATTTTTAAAAAATAAAAATTTTTTTAAATGCCCTACTTTTTGAATATAAAAATAATGTTGGGTAACGCAAATGTAATTTAAATAAAAATATTTAATGTAACGAGCAAAGTAATTTTATTACTTTTCAAAATAAGTTTACCCAACACTGCATATTATACTCGAATAATATTTTTAAATTACAACAAAATAACTAAAATCGTTATTTTTGTTGTTTTAGTATGTAATTTCATCTAAATTTGAATTTAAAATGTCTAAAAATTAACAGTTTATGTTTTTTGGTTACAGTATGAACTATTCATTACAATTTTTGTTTTAAATTTTCAATCCTTAGCTATGAAAATTGAAAATTTTATAATTTTTTAATCTCAATAATTTATCATTTTAAAGATTTTGATCAATTTTGTAAAAATTTGAACATTAAAAACTGATAAAAATTATGACTGGATTTTTCAAAATTTATCAACAGCTATTATGACAACTAATATGGAACCTTGTATTAAATTAAATATATAGAATAAAAAACTAAAAAAGTTGAAAATCTTATGTATAGAAAATTATGAAATTAACATTTGATGAAAATTTAAAGTACCTACGGTTATAAGTATTCATATAACAAAATAAAAAAACCATTGTATACTCCATTCCAAATAAGATCAGGCTTTGGCGCAGTGCCGCAACAATCGCATGGGCAGCCGGGTTAATCCCCCTGTAAAGGGCCACTAATCGTTGGCCACTAACCGCATCTATTTTAAATTTTTAAATAATTGCATTATAATCTAATGTTTAAATGAAATAAAATAAAATATTTTTATAATTTATCATGCTATCTAATTTGTTGTCGAATAACAATTATGTTTATCCATAATACCTAATATCTATATTTATTTATAAAATTATAATTTTATTGTTATTGAGTTACTTTTATATGAAAAGGAGAGCTTTAATTAATATTTATAATAAAAAAAATAACACTTAGTATAGTTATATTTTAATAACAATACACTGGGCCTTCGTATCATATTTTTAGGCTTTTTAAAAAAAAAATCACCATCATTATTCAGGTAACCTATAAAAAAATATTATATACATAGACCTCAGGGCCCCATACATTGACTTTGTCCGGGGCCCTAAGAATCCTAATTGCGGCACTTGGTGGCCTAGCATCGGAGTGTTTGTTCCGTGGCAGCGCGCCGCCTTAGTGGGGACAGCAACTGACTGTCGCAAAATGAAAACGGGTCGCTGCCGAAACAATCTTATTTGGAATAGAGTAGGTATATAAGAATTTATTAATTTGCAAGTGAATATCCAATGTCTAGTTTCAGAAGCTCATAAAAAATTAACCGACCCCGCTAAACATTTTTTTTTTTTTTTTTGAATGTAAGAAAACAGGAGAATCTTATATTTTCCTACATTTTCAAGTAGAAATAGTTTAGATATAGATAGAACGATTTTTATGAATTTTTGAATTGAAGTAATTTGCTGATTTTGGTGAATTTTGTCAACATTTTAACTTCAGACGTTCATAAAAAATTATTGAGGATTTAGTTATTTTTTTTAAACATTTTTACTAAAATTAAAAATTGCTAAAAATTTATATAAATTTATTTACTTTATATATATATGTGAATATACATTAATGTCATCTTTATTGAGTTTGTGTAACTGCTCTAATATGAAATTATCATTTCTCAATTGGTAATTAAATATACCTAATGCTTTCCGTAATTGGATGCATACATTTTATCTTATATTTATACGCAGAATGACTGAAGTCTTGGTGTTTAGTTATTATATTTAATTTTTCCAATTTTTCTATGGTCTTTTTCAGGAATGATTTGCAGTTATCAAATGTGTCGTTTTTCATAACTAACTCAAATGAATCACATATATTGCGCATCTGAAAGTGATATTTTAAAATTAATTTAACTAATGTAAAATGATATAATATTGGTAACTAAATGATGAATTATTACTGTAGAATGGCTTAAAGCAGTATTAGTTATGTATATATATAAAAATGTCATCACAACCGCATCACTGTACGTCAAATGATCTGATTGAAATAGTGTGGCTTGTGGTATTGTCAATATTTTATTATTAATGATGCATGCTTCATCTTTTTTGCACGTACTGTTAAAATGTATGTTTATTGTATTGTATTGTGTTTTTTGGACACACAAAGATAATAATAATTTTTGAATTACTTACAAATCAAATTCATAATTATCATCCAAACAAAGATATTGATCAAAATATTTGAATTGATCTTTAAAATTAACATCATCATGATAAACGTTTTATTACATTTATTACGTTGTGCTTCTTAAATACTACACTAGATATATCATCAAATTTTCATAGAGAAATGTGATATAGGCCAAATTCGACAAACAACTCGTCCATGTATTAATCCTTTAGGTACAGGACCGAAATCCCAAGAATCGGTTGAATTGGTATGATTGTCGCCTTCCAACCATACTGAGCCTCTTGGTACCTATAGTATACAACAATTAATGATTGAAAAAAAATTAATACTAAAGTTGGTTTAAATTCAAAGGTTAAAGTATGTGTACTGTTTAATCGTTCTATATCTGGACATGGGCCACCAAAAAAATTGGATGAATTCCAACTTTGACATGGATCAATGATGCCCAGTGTTTATCCCAAAGAAAAATCATAACTGGTATACAGAAAATGAATATGGAAATTTGGAAGTTCGAAATGGATAGGACATTGTTAGGAGCAAGAAGCAAAACAATAAGTTGGGTAACAGCTAGGGTTGGGCCAAAATTAAAAATATTTATATTATCAATATTAATGAAATTTAAAGTTTATATGAACAGTGGTGTATATAGAAATAATTTTTGGGGTGGGCTATACTAGATAGAAACTAGCAAGTGATCTATTACTTAGAGGCTACTGTCTACCATATATTTAACAGTTTCTATAAATATATTCGTATTTGTTATTTTTCAACAAGCTATGAAATATTATAACTTATAATAGTACCTAATAAAATATATTGTTGTTATATTTAAAAACACTGTAATTTCGGGGTGAGGGGCTGCAGCCCACTAGGTCCACCCTCTATATACTCCACTGTATATGAATCAATGTACAATGTACAAATCAAAGACAACTATATAGGTACAATTAAAATTATTAAACACAATACCAGTACAATTTTTTATAATCCTACCACTTGATAATTTAATCCTCTTCTAACCATTTGGCCATCAACAGCTTTCACTCTCTTCATAATGAATTTGTTATGTTCTTCAGGAGACTTAGCAATAATTACATCTCCTTTATCTACATTTTTGATCATCTTTGAGAAACGTTGAATAATTACCAAATCACCAGAGTGGATAGATGGCTCCATGGAATCCCCTGAACACTAAGATTTCCCAATAAAAATGTATAGAGTTAGATTTGGGGTTTATATTCACAACGAAAGAAAATACTTACTAAGAATATATCTGCTACATGTTCTGTTACACAATGAGCAACACAAAAATATTTAAAAGATGTAAAAACAAAACTCCCTACTTTTTTAAACATTGGTTATTTAATTAAAGTATGAAGTATGAAAATATACTTTTAAAATCATACTAAGTATGGTTTTATATTATTATAGAGTAAATAATACATATGTTAATTATATGATGATATTATTATAGAATCATGTTATATGTCAATAACCATAACGGCATAACATTAAGGTAGAAAATTAATTACATAAACTCAAAACAAATATTTTAAAATAGGTAACTGATAAATAAATATCTTGTAAATTAAACATACAGATTAATTAGAATATTTCAACATCATAAATAATAATTAATACCCTCAACTTTCATAATAACAAATAATGTAGCCAATGTAGGCAATTACTAAAATATACAAAATAACATTATAATAAAATAAATAAATATTGTGGAAGGATTTATGGGGGATATATTTTATAATCTTTGATAATAATATGAGGCATGAACTTTGTTCTGTGCATGAACTAGCGTTTTCCATCTGACTATTCTGACTGCAGTAGTGCACCTATACTCTATGAGTGCACCCTACACTCGAACACTGATACCATAATCACAGTATCACATAATTTTCCACACCTCCAAAATTCACGGTGTCGACCACGATTATTGTTCTGTGATTATATCTTAAATTGTGGTGTCGACCAGTGTACACCACGGTTTAAGATAGAAACTATCTAGATAGTAACTATCTTAAACCGTGGTGTACACTAGTGCAGTCAGCTGATGGAAAACGCGTAAATTTAAAATTACTTATATAACATTTTTTATTTTTTTTTTTAAACAACATGTATAGAAATAATAAAATACGATACAAAATAAATCATAATATCATCATATTTGTCATATGAAATACCATACAATTGCCAATCGACCTTCAATTCATGGCGGGAGTTCGCTATCTACATGGAACAGTGGCGGACTGGGAGATTGTCGGCCCAGGGGGAAATACAGCTTAGCGGCCCTAAATATTTTACTATATTATTACTATTTCAGTTGTGATTTTATAAATAATATGAATATTTTATTACTATAATTTAAAATAAATGTAAATTTTACTTGTAGAACTATTTTAAAAAAAAAAGGTGGGCAAGTGGGTGTCGCTCTGCTGTACAGTAGGTTACAAGTGGGTCACTGTAAAATGGATGCTATTAAATTTGAATTCAACGATATAATATCATTGTATAAGAAAAACGATTCTGAGCGGAGACGGTATGTCAGTCTTTATATTTTACAATGTTATTATTAATTATACCTGGTCAATTGAACTAATATTATAAATTACAACAAAATAACTAAAATAGTTATTAGATTCTGAGCGGAGCGAGGAAGCTATAGTGGTTACTGGTTTTACAATGGTGTTTACTTTATTTTTTTTTTATATCCTGTATACAAAATATCTACCAGAAGGAGTGCTTTTGGAATCAACATATAGTACCTTATCTTTTAGCAAATTGGGTCAAGATGGTACTTTATAAACGTAATATTTCGATTTTCTCAATAGTTATTTAATGCCACAGGAAAAACCACCGACAAATTATGAAAAACCGCTAAAAATGGTATTTTAATTTCTAACGCTTTGTTTATCACCATAGAAAAGAATAAAAATTAATAATATACCTATTATAATATAAATTCAACTTACAGGATATAATATTTAATAATAACAATATCCAAACTTACAAACCGTCTTCGCTCAGAATCTTTTTTCCTATACAATAATATTATATCATTGAATTCAAGTTTAATACAAATTACAATCCTTTATACATTGATCCACTTGTAACCTACTGTACAGCAGAGTGACATCCACTTACCCACTTTTTTATTTTTTTTTTATTCGTTTCCATGGTGATAAGCAAAGCATTAGAAGTTAAAACCCCGTTTGTAGCGGTTTTTCGTAATTTATCGGTGGTTTTTCCTGTTTCATTAAATAACTATTGAGAAAGTCGAAAAATTACGACTCTAAAGTACAATCTTGATCCAATTTTCTAAAAGATAAGATACTATATTATGTTTAAATCGAAGCACTCCTTCTGGTAGAATATGTTGTATACAGAATAAAAAAAAAAAATAAACATCAATGTAAAACCACCGGCTTCCTCGCTCCGCTCAGAATCTAATAATAATATTACAATGATATTAAATGATACAATGATACAATGATACAATAATATTATAATGATAATAATTCAACTTACAGGCTATAATAAATAATAAAAATATACAATATCCAGACTGCCAAACCGTCTCAAACTGTATGAAATAATATTAGAGTCTTAAGTTAAAATTAATATTTAATATCCAACTATCATATTCTTATACATCAAGTATACCCAGTGGCGTACACACGGGGGGGGGGGGTGTTCAAACCCCCCCTTTAGTATTTTTTCAGTTTACGTAATAACGTAAAAATGTATAATAAAAATATTATATTCCAAATTATACTCCATTATATTATAACTTATAAGCAACCCAGTTTGTTGTTATAATATATTGTAGATATTATTGATAACTTGTCACAAATTAATGAAATTATTGGGAAATTTGTTCAAACACAAACATGAGGGTCGACAATCGTGTAATCCGATATAATATGCCTTAATAGCTATCTCAGTATAAAATCTATTTCTCAGTTTTCAATCAAATTCCTGACTCTTTGGACGTTTAGTAAATTGTACTTACTGTTTAAATATTTTATAAAACAATAAAAATGAAAAGAATAAACGAATATTTTTCTAACTCACTAATTTGTGATACAATTAACTCGGAGGAACCAGGTAAATATTTAATACATTATATTATCGACCTAGGTACAAAAAAATGATTAATATGATAAAAATAAATTTCTTTTTATACCTATCTTTTATTGAATTGTATATAATATATTATTATTTACATATTATATGTACGCGTGTAGCTTTGTAGTTATACTAAATAATTACCTGTTTATTATCTAATAGGTATATATTTTTTAAATAATAATCGAGAATTGTAAAAATATTTTTAATTTCACCTTAAGTCATTGCTAATGAGCTGATTACTCATTATGTACAAAATAATTACTATAGGTACATCGTTTTGATTTATCAATGTATAATATATATTATATATGTATATAATTTTTTATATGTAAGCCCCATTGAAAATAGCTGTGTACGCCACTGTGTATACCTACTCGTATTGAATCTGTTGGTAATATTAATATTATATTACAATTTATAGAAGATTTTGATGCCAGTACATACAGCATAATATTATATTTATTAGATGATTTGCTTATAGAATGTACATTATATTATTATTAACGATACAACCTTAATGAGCGCTACTAAACAATATTGACGGGGATTCTATATTACAGACCATAATCTAAAATAGGACACTTAATAAAAAAATATAAAATTATTGAGAAATGTGGAAATATCAAAATATCCTTGGAGATCTTTATTAAACATCGTTCTTCTCATAAAATGGCAGTCTTTTTGGTTTTTTCGGCGTTTCTTGTTGATAAAATGTTTTGGTTATCAGTCAAAGAGTCTAATCCAGGGGCGGATCTAGGGGAGGGTTCAGGAGATCAGCTGACCCACAGTTAATATTTTCTGATCAAATTGGCCTCTTTTCAGATCTTGAGTAGTTGGACACTTAAATAAACACACATAGAGTATAAATTAATTTTAAATTCTGAGTGGAACGATGAATATATTGATTTTACAATGTGTGTTTTTTTTTTTTTAATTTTTTTGGTTTATTTTTGTGTCTGTGTACACGATAGGTAGTCGAAATAATGCTTCGATTTTCAACTTCAGTATCTTGTTCGATTGGAAAGTGAATCTAGTTGGTGCAGTCGGAAGGTCAAAATTTAAAATTTAAAAGAAAAATTAAGGAAAAACGGGAATTTTTACGCAAAATCGATTTTTCAGAAAATTGAATTTGGTTTTTGGTGTAACTCTAAAACAAATGAACTTAAATACATGAAATTTTCACTGGTTGTTTATATTTGCATTTTCTATAAAAGATAATATTTTCAAAATATTTTGATTTATTTTGAACTGTTTAGGGACATTTTCATTATTCATTTTTTTTTAGTTTTTTTTCTAGAAATATCAATAAAATTTTATTTGTTGGTTAAAAAAACTTGAAAATTTAACAGAAGGCTCCTAGTATATTGTTTCAAAGGCAGATGAAAATTATTAAAAACCGTTAGTCACAGTTTAAAAATAAAAATTAAGGAATAACGGAAATTTTTACTCAAAATCTGTTTTCCAAAAAATCGATTTTGGTTTTTGGTGTAACTCTAAAACAAATGAACTTAAATACATGAAATTTTCACTGGTTGCTTATATTTGCATTTTCTATACACAATAAAATTTTTTAAATATTATGATTTGTTTTGAACTGTTTAGGGACATTTTCATTTTCCATTTTTTTTTTAGTTTTTATAATAAAAATATCAATAAAATTTTATTTGTTAGCTTAGAAAGCTTGAAAATGTATTATAAGGCTCCTAGAGTATATTGTTTAAAGGCAGATGAAAAATATTAAAAATAGTTAGTCACAATTTTCTTTTATAAGCATTTAAAGTTCAAAAATCGATAAAATATGGAAAAATCACGAAATATAGAAAATTATTTTGAGTTAAGAATTCGTAAAAGTTTTTCTTTTTAAATCTAAGATTTGAAAATGTAATACAAGATTACTCATAAGTTTGTCTACCTTTATCAATAAAAAAATCTCTACCGGAAAGTTAAATTAAATTTTTATGAGCGTTTGAAATTCAAATTTTTACAACATTGGATATTCACTCGATTTCTCATGTAGCGATTTCCTTATTTTGTTGTAATTCAAAAACAAATAACTGTAGATAAATGAAAATTTCACTGAATGTTCATATTAGCATTTCCTATACAATTTACAATTTTGAAAATAATTGTTTTTCTTATACAATGATATTATATATAATTATAAATTCAAATTTAATACCATCCATTACAGCGACCCCCACTTGTAAGTTGTAACCTAATGAACAGCAGGTTAGGTATACAGCAAAAGTATTTTGACTTTTTTTGAGCTGTTTACGGACATTTTCAGTTTTCAATTTTTTTAGTTTTTTTTTCTATAAATATCAATCAAGTTTTATCTGTTATGCCAAAAAGTGTAGAAATTTAATATAAGGCTCCTGATATATTGTTACAATATCAGTTGAAAAATATTAAAATACATAGGCTGCACAATTTTTTTTATAAGCATTTAAAGATCGAATTTAGACAAAATTTTACAAATTTAAAATTGAATAATTATTTTGTAGTTAAAAATGTATAAAATGTTCAACTTTTATATCTAAGGATTGAAAATTTAAAACATGATTTCACCATTGTAGTTAATTCTGTTACCAAAAAATCTAAAAAATACATAAGCACAGTTTATTTTTATAGTCATTTTAAGTTCAACTTTGGATAAAATTACATAAAAAAAACCTAGAATAACTATTTTAGTTATTTTTTTGTGATTGTGTAATATTATTCGTGGGTACTTGAAACTTCTAAAGTACACTATTATATACCTATGGAGTATGGACTATGATAGTATCAGGGTTTGTTGTTACTTGTTGACGTATAACGCATTAACGCATTATAAGTAGGTACCTAATGGATATTAGGATATGATTAATTTGGAATTTATTATAGGTAAATTTTTTTTAATACGATAGATAAGAAAATAATATGCCTTATACCTAGACTGACATACCGTCTCCGCTCAGAATCGTTTTTCTTATACAATGATATTATATCATTGAATTAAAATTTAATACTATCCACTGACCCACTTGTAACCTACTATACAGCGGAGCATCTTTTTTTTGTTTTATATACCTAGTACACAAGTATAGATTTCTAATTTGGTTTTAATAAGTGGTCCCCTGAAATTTCCTGACCCACAGTTTCCTAACTCTGGATCCGCCCCTGGTCTAATCATTCAATACAAGGTCCCTCGTGTGATTTATACACCAGTTACAACAAACCCAAATTCTACCAGTACAATATATAAACACGATTTCCACCAGTCACATAAATTAAATTTACACCAGCGTGTCGACGCTTAATAATGATATAAAATAAAAACCAAATAAATTACAAAGCATAAACGTTTATTAGTGTTAATGTATACACGATTACGGTTTTATAGCAATATTTATATATGTTTTATATATGTATATAGCCGGACACAAACTCTTGGAGCGAACTCGGGATGATCGTGCACGGTGACTTACTACACTGGCGCCATAAACGTGATAAGTGAGGGGGCAAACTAAACAAACTTTCAAACCAGTGCCCAAACACTCCTCAAAAAACTATTTATACACCTAATGGTGTATGTCGCTGTTAGCACCACAGCAAACCATTCGCCGGGCGAATCTCTTCACTCGGCTCCATAGTGAGCGACGTTTAGGTCTGGCGGCTGTTACTGTAGTTTCCATTTCTGCAGCATCTCCATGGCCGCAAAGTGATACAATTTCCTGTAAACTGGCGGTCTCCAGGTCCAAAGGTTTTGTCAAACCATTTTTCGACTCTGTATCCCCAATTGACGGTGGTGCCACTTTCTGTATTGGACTAAACAGTTGAGGGTCGGATTCGACCGGCTTAACCAGTGGGAAAGTTGTCGAGACGGACAACATCGTGTCGATGTCGATAAGTTCTGCAGCGACGGGTTTCATTACTGCACTGTTAGTTGTTTCCGCATACAATGAATCCAGCGAAACGGTAATTTCCGTGGACGGCATAGCATCAGGTGCATCAACTTCGGCATTTGTTAGGAATGCCATATCGGGCATCGATTTACATAATCTTTGAGCCTTTGAAATCTTGACACTACTAACGTCGACCGCTATCTGACGATTTTCACGTAGATCACTGAAAACTTGCATCATCAAAGCTGTTGAGGACTGCAAATCGATCTGAACGTCTTCGCTAGCGGAAATTGGCATGTTGGGTAACGATTTATATCGTCGATGTAGTTTTAAACTGGTGAGATCATTGTCTTGAAACCTTTTAGGGCGATTTTGCCGGAGATCGTCAAACACCTGTTTCATTATTTCAACAGCGGACTGTATTTGGGCTTCGGACGAATTATTCACTTCTGTTATATAAGACATAATGATAATCTGATATAGAACAAGGTCAATATATAAGACAATTTTACACTGTGTTATAATCAATCAGAGAATGATGTAAAAATATATTTACTGATTTAATAAGAACTAAACAGTTATACGCTGCCCATAGTTACAATATTTGTAATGTTTTTTTAAAACCAGTCAGTGGGGCCCATTATTTTTTTTGAAAGAATAAATAAAAAAAAAATAGAGTGTGTTTGTAGTACCTTCGTGCAGGGGAAGTAAAACTTTTTCGCAGTTGATCGTATGAGTTGTGATGTGTAATAAAATATTAAATATCTAGCATATTTGTACGTATTCGGCATCTGTATACCATTTTGTACATCTATAATATTATGTAAGTATTGTATATTAATTGTATTAAATTATGTATCGCTGTACACTGTTTGAATGTATAGACATTACATAATATGTGGTTTTACACATTATAATAATTTACATGATAATAATATAAATACTAATTTAATAATAATTATTTCAATATTTAAAAAGCTTATTCGTCGTAATGAGTAAAATTATAATTACAGTAAACTCAATTTGTGAATAAATAATATCATAATATTATGTGTATTTATGGCTGTGTACATATTTATTTAAATTAGCAGGGTAATATAACTATAGACTCACTCGGACGACTAAGTCCGAAAATACAAAATATTCTATTAAATTGTCATTTATAATTATATAATGTTTTCAAGAAGTAATAAGTATACATTACAAGGTATGATAAAAACTAGTATCTAGCTACAGTATAACTTACTGTTGGGTTCACTAATAAGACGTTTGAGAATTATTCTCTTATCTTTGAAGTAAAATGTTGTTTATAAATTCGTAATTTATAGATTATAATATGGTACTTATACTATTAACTATTAAGTAGGTAGTATGTAAGGTACTCATTTTTTTCAAACCGTTTGAAAAAAAAAAATTATAAAATGTTCTGATAAAGAAACATTGCAGCTTTTGCAACATGTTATAGTAATTATCGTTATGTTTTTTTTTTATATCAGTTTTGTACCAATGAAAGTTTTGTTATAGTCACGATAAATAGTTACAACATAGTTTACAGTTTTAGTATACATGCAAAGGTTGGTTACAAAGGGTAGACTAAAATAAATTTAGTTAGTATATCTAACCAAGACATCTGCAGGTCATGTAGATTATTGATCTAAATTTGTAATTAGAAAATATACTGACAGTTGGCTGGTATTAATACATACTCAAATTACTTTACTAAACTGTACAATTTAATATCTTTCTTAAATAATTAAGTTTTTTGTAATGGAATCTTCATCAGTGCCCTGCAGTGCATCGTAAGGGTGCTCGGGTATGTCGAATTTCTTGTGTTGTTATTTATTATATGATGTAAACGAGTAATATCAACATTAATAAAGACTAAATAATTTTCATCACACATAGGGTGCGTTCGTCTTGGACGCTTTTGCGATTACAGTGCTCACGATAACGATACCGTTCGTCTTGGCATAAGCGCTAGTAAGCAATGTCCAAGACGAACGCAATTTATTATTCGGGCGCGATCATTTCAATGTTATCACTTTATGAGTTATCACGTTTTTAATAATCAAAATAATTATTATAAATTCTAATTAGTAATAGCCCATAGTTACCTCATTATTAATGGATGAATTTAATGACGAAGTGTTAGTTGGACTAGCTTTACAACTAGTTGGAGATGTTTTATTTTTCTCTTCGTCGGAAGATAGTGAGGACGATGATCACGATTTTGAACTTGCAGTGCCGTTTGTGACTGCCAAAAATGCAATACCTAGAATGGAAAATTATGTGGAAAATATTGTACCTCAGTTTGACGATGGACAATTCAAATCCCATTTCCGGTTTTTACTTTAATTTTGGTTACCTATAAGCATCAGAACTTTACTCATAATATTTTAAAATTATTAATATAAATAATTTATAGAATGCTCCCTGAAACGTTTGAATTCATATTGAAAATAATTGCACCAAAATTGGTTAGAAAAAAACCTGGCTGTCCAACTATTCAACCTAATAAGCAGTTGCTTTTAGCAATTTGGAAAATGGCAACCCCAGATTCATACAGGTTCGTTTTTTAAGTTACTATTTTTTGTTTCTATTAGAATTTCAAACTAGGTAGTTGTTTTATCTCATATAAGTTTACAGGTCAATTTGTGAAAAATTCAATGTAGGGAGGGCAACTGCGTTGAAATGTGTGAGAAGAGTGGTTAATGCTTTAGAAATTCTAGCACCAGCTTTTATTGCTTGGCCTAATGAGGAAAGATCAATGGTCATTAGAAATGGATTTTTTGCCACCAGTAACTTTCCTAATGTCATCGGTGCAATAGATGGAACCCATATTAATATTCCTGCACCTCGTGATCATCCAGAGTCTTACGTGAACAGGAAAGGTCACCATTCGATTCAACTTCAAGTATGTTACGTTATTTTTTGATCTGAGTTATCACTTATCAGTTGTTTGTTGAATCTTAATTTGTAAATTGTCACTAACAATCAAGCATAAACACTGAACTAAATCTTAAATTTTTATATTTTGAAAAAATTAACAGCAATGTTAGAGTTGAAGAATAGGTGGATTGGCAAACCACAATAATTATTACTGCGATGTATAGTATTAAATGGCATAATAATATCCATAACAACTTCTTTGGAGAACCCAAATTAAAAAATATAATTAAAAATACATTAAATTTGTGCTTAACGTGCTACATGTGTGCAACTGAATCTATTAAAAAATATTTATTTCACTGTATAATTAATATAATGTAAAATATATACAGAAGTACAATAAATAGTTCCTATAAAAGCGTCCTTACTGTATCTTTTGTAAAATTGTAGAGGAGAAAATAATTCAATAGAGTTTTCATGATCTCTGAGCAAAAGATCATCGTCCGGTCAATTGTTAGTCGTTAATCATATGTATATGTATACCTACCTCAATGCTACAAAAATAAAATCATTATTCTGGTTGAAGACTATTTTTGTATTTACTTTATTGACAACTTCTATGTAGTAGGTATGTAGTAAAAACTACACATTTTTTTATATAAAAAAATAAAGTGATATTTTAAATTAAAAATTATAAATATAGCTATCGTTGGTAGGAATATAGGAATTATGACAGGAGGGGCTAAAATAAAATTTAGGGTGCTCAGCTCCCCTCCCCCAAGTCCCCCCTCCCTTAGTTATGCCTGTAGTGTGACTGCTTAGGTGACCCTTAAATTAATTTTAAGTAACACTTAAATAGCTGTGTATACGGCGGTTTGTGTAGTTGAATTAGATAACAATGTAATCATTAAAATTGAATAGATATTAATATGTTTTTATAGGCCGTTTGTGACCATCAGTGTAAATTTATTCACTGTTATGCTGGAAACGTTGGATCAGTTCATGACCAACGAGTGTTTCGCTTATCTGATTTAAACGAAGACATACACAACCCTAGTAAATTTTTAAACAACTCTCATATTATTGGTGATGCAGCTTACACATTGCAAGAACACTTATTAGTACCTTACCGTGACAATGGGCATCTCACCGAAAAACAGAAAAACTTCAATTTTTGTCATTCATCAGCAAGAATGGCAATTGAAAGGTCTTTTGGATTGCTTAAAGGGCGTTTTCGCAGTCTCCTCACCACACTTGCTATGGAGCGTGTGGATCTCATTCCAAAATATATTATAGCATGCTGTGTATTACACAATATATGTTTATTGAAGAATGATGATTTTCCAAGTACAGTTGAGTTATTACCAGAAGCCGTACAATATCATGATCAAGTAGGAGGCAATGTTGCTGTAAACCGACTAGGTGTAATTAAGAGAGATGACATTTGTGAACGATTGTCTATTCGTAATGTATAATTAAAATAATATGTATTTTTTAAACATTAAAAATTCTGATTGCAGTGGAATATACATACTTGTTAAACATATTAATCACTGTTTGCATCAAATAATATAATAATTTGTCTCAAATTACCAACTAAAAGTCACTCGTCTTTGAATTTATCCAATACCGTCAATTTCCCAATAAACAAATGTACACAAAATCAAAACCATTATTTAACCAAATTCATATTATCTTTGAGTTTCTACATAAACATGTGTAGATGCAATAAATCTAAAGACAGTATCAACTCCATAGTAATATGTGAAGAAACATATTACATATTATAATGTGCTAATATAATATAGCTATTATAATAGCTGTGACCACTCTACTCATGAAATGTAAATCAAAATTAGTTGTCACAAAAGTAATGTTAAACCTAGCGTTAACGTGTATAGAATTAGAGTAAAACGTGTAAAATGACATCTTTCAACAAGAGATGCATTTGTTGTAAACTGTTTATAACGTCATGGGTTATTATAAATTCGGCATTTTCTTATAACCCAAATTATTTTAAGTGTGTTACCCTGGCACCCTAAGGTCAACATTTTGACTTGAAAACTGTTTGGTAATATTTAATCTATTATGTAATGATTTTTAACCACAAAAAAACAATTTTGTAACTAAACTGGTGCCCCGGAAAACTACATGCCTAGAATTATAGTAAGTATAATTATTAATATAATATATGCGATCTGTTTTAATATTATATTATGTATTGATTAATGTATATACTATATAGTATGTATTATTGGGCTATTCAATGATATAATTTATTAATATAATATACAAAACATCAGTAGTATATTAGCATAATATCATAAGGTGCATAATATGTATGAGCATACACGTAAAGGTACCTAACTAATAAGTGAATTCTGCCATTTTTATTAAATACCTATACATTTTTATTCTAATTGGGTAGGTAAATTGTTTTATTTAACTAAGATATTTTTTTATTGAAAGTTCTTAAAAAATCTTTATTGAAAAAAAAATCTAAATTCAATAAAAAGTATACATTTAATAAAATATATAATATATTTGATAAAATATCTATATTTAATAAAAATATTAATATACTTTCAAGTACCCATATTTTTAAATATAGAGATTGTGAATAATAATTACATGCCAACTTTTAAAATAAGAGGACAACTGTATCATAGGATAGGATCTTTGATGCCAAAACCAAATGAACAAGTCAAATTTTTACAAATTAATTTTATTGGAGAAGAAGAACAACAGTGCAGTAAGGTTAGAGTGGGTCACCTAGTATAATATAAAAAGAATAAATTAAAACATAACAGTCTGTCTTACTTTATTGTCTTTACTTAGTTTTATTAATCAACATTAAAATAAAATAACATATATTTAACAAGTCTTTTTGTTAACAATGAATAATACATAATTAGTCTTTAATCTCAAAAACAATAACAATTCAATTTAAAACATAACAAGTCTGTCTTAATGTTTTTACTTAGTTTTATATTAATCAACATTAAAATAAAATAACATATATTTAACAAGTCTTTTTGTTAACAATGAATAATACATAATTATTAGTCTTTAATCTCAAAAACAATAACAATTCAATTTAAAACATAACAGTCTGTCTTAATGTTTTTACTTAGTTTTATATTAATCAACATTAAAATAAAATAACATATATTTAACAAGTCTTTTTGTTAACAATGAATAATACATAATTATTAGTCTTTAATCTCAAAAACAATAACAACTCAAATTATAAAAGCTAAAAAAGTAATCAAAATAGATAATGAAAAGGAAACACATCATGTTTTTTTTTCCAAAACAGCAACTATTCTTGCTAGAAGACCAAGAGCCTCTTTTTTTTGTTCAATTTTTTCTACATGTCTCTTTTCTCTACTTTCCTCTGATATTTTTCTGTTTTCTTCAATAGCAAATATAACCTTATCCACAGAAGGCATTTGATTTAACTTTTTCCTTGGTTGGTCATAATTATTGGAGTTAACAGTAAGAACAGAAGAGTATTCTGGTTCAGAATTAACTCTTTTTCCAGAGGATGATGCAGTGGCAACAGGTGATATACAAGGCTTGGATCCAATCAAACCATCCAATAAATCGAAATAGGCCCATGTTCGAGTTCCATTCCCCGACTTCCCATTGTGGTCCTTCATAGATTTATAAGTTCGTTTTAAGCTACCAAATTTCGACTGACATTGTGGACCAGTAACTTGATGGTTTTTTTTTATCAATGCCTCAGCTATATTTTGCCAATTTTTTTTTTGGGATATACGCCCCGAATAGAAGTCATCAGTTCTTTTTCTAAATTCTTCAACAAGAAGCAGTATTGCCTCATGAGGCCACTTAAAAACATTATTTTCAGTCTCAGTATTTATATTGTTTATCATTGAAATTTCATTTTGATCAACTGACACAGTTTCATTTTGATCAACTGACACACTTTCATTTTGATCGACTGACACACCTTCATCAGCTACAAATTCTTCAACAAATCTCCTATATTTGGCTTTCTTTAACATTTTTTCCCCAAATGCTATATCTAAACACATAAATAGTTACATTATATAGCATTCTTTTTATAATCCAAAATGCATGTACACATAACACATATATTATGAATATTATACTCAACAACTCAAGTCTTATTTCAAGTAATAATGATCAAAATATCTTACCAAAAAATACCAACCTCCGACCCACCCAAAAATCCTTTCTTATTACACATTATGTTTAGTGGTTTAATTAGTAATATTATTAATTAATAATAATTTTTAACTTTATCTAGTTATAAATACTTATATATAAACATGATTTTAAATTTGAGAATCAAGCTAAGTTATTAAGTTAACTAACTAGGTAAGAATAAGATAAAAAGTTAAAACAAAATTAATTTTTTAATAAGTTAATGCACTTTTACATTTCATTCTTAACCCCTTTCTTATTTCATACTATATCTATTATTCTTATGTATTAGGTACCTATCGGAAGTGGTAATCGGAAAAAAAATACCCCAACAAACGACCACGGGAAAAAATCCCCAGATTACATTATTACTCACAACCACATGTAAATGGTTGAACATATATTTTTAAATGTTAATTAGTATCTTAAACTACAATTAACATTATTAATCACAGATATGTATATCAAATAATATTTTGTTTTATATTACGATAATACCTTTATTATGTATTATTCTGTAAAATTTAAACTAGGAACGATTTGCAAATTATAATAATGTAGTAAAATAAAAATAATTATCAAACATTATAGTTATAAATTATAATGAATGTATGTAGTATGTACCTATCACGTATCACCGTAACAACTAGTATAGTATATAAAAATATTTCGAATGATCGATAGATACGTCAAATAATCCAGTTAAAAACATGGCATACAAAAATATTTAAAATACACAAGTAAAACAAAATATAGGTAATAATAATAATAATTTTTAAACAATCATTATTGAATGGTAGGCACTCACAGTAAAAACATAGCATATAAACATCTTAAAGAGCTAAATTATACGTATTTGTAATTAAATATTAATAATGTGGTAATTATAGATACTATAATTTACGTTTAAAAAATATTTTTTCAACCATTTTCATGTGGTTGTGAATAATATTGTATAGGAGCATCCAGGTTTTTAGAAAATACTTTAAGCAGGTGCTGTAGGTCAAAAAAGATAGGGAACTTCTGAGTTAGGCATCTTAACTTATTACAAACATCCGTACAACAAGTTGTTTGCTGACAATCAGAGAGTAAAAACAGAATTTTCCGAGTATAAGCCAGCTTTAAACACATGTTAACTTTAACTACAAAGGTACCTGTCTCTAAGCGCTTCGCTTCTTCGGGCGTTACTTCAATAGTGTATTGTGTTTGTGACTCATCATCACCATCTATAATGGTCACTTTCATCTTGAGTTAATAGTTACTTATTAACTTCTAGGCTCTAGCTAGTAATTAAGTAATTTATGAAAAAATTTTCAATGTTACTATCATTATTCCATATTCGTTATCACTAACAAACGCTTTAATCCGTTCGTCAACACCCCACAACGCTGACGCTTTGGCCGCACTACCTATTTCGTGAAATCGTTTGTGAGCGCGAAACAATGACGTAGCTCCAGTATTAATGACGTCACGGTTGTATTCTGAGCGTTTCAATGTGCCAAGCCGAACGACACTGAAGCACTGATAAGCGCTTATAACGTAAAAAGCGTCCAAGACGAACGCACCCATAGTCTTTATGTGATAGCATTTTGATGTAAAGTGCGCACAACCGAAAATCATGATCAGACTAATTTTAAGGCATTTAAAATAATATGTCAATATGTCAAAACCTACTCAATATGACTGGAATCGAAAATTATATGAAGGCTGTTGTACATGTAATTTCAGCACACAACTTTGTGTAAATCTCTTGCACAACTCAACTACCTATATTATGTATGCGCATTACGCACTAAATACTAATGTTCTATAATATACCATTCCATCCATTTAGAACCTATTCGAGAACATGTTATAACTTATAGCCTTTCATCTAATTTACTCAAATCGCCGATTATAATATATGTATAGACCGTTGAAACTTCGTATGAATTAATCTCGTGTTCGCGTTGTTCAAATCGTTTACTGCTTCGTACTCGTGGCTTCCGTGAGCCTTCCTACAACTTACAAGAACAGTATACACCGCACCCCAACTACCTACATAGGTAACATTAATATTGGCAGTCGCACCCAATATAATACCATGTTTACTGTAGGTAGTTAAAGTTAATATTCTTTATAATAATATACAATAATGGTTGAGTTGATAAATCTGTATTGATTCTTGAAGTAATTTATAAATTATAAATGTTATTGTAGAAATATAGACTAGCAATAGGTCGGTGAGCCGTGATGAGGTAAGGCTTTCACGTAGAAGAATACCTACCTAAATTTTTCTAAGGTGCAATAATTAATCAATCACTAACAAAGCAAAGGCCGTAAGATACTCATTATAATATCCGCTGTTAAATTTCAAAAGCACTTTCTGCTTATAAACAAAAATATAGCTATACACGATCTATATTCAACGAATCCTGCAGCTTTTTGAGGGATTTACCCATATACTTCACCAATCTGGGTATCCAATATTTTTATCACAAATGGAATAATTTGATGCCATTCAAACACATTTTTTCAAAACATAATCACAGCGGTTAATTGGATCGTCATCAATAAGACGATACAGAATACAACTTCAAACTTTCTGGAGGCAGTCTGAACCAAAACAGAATACGTAAAACCAAGCAAAAAAAAAAAACCTATAGTAGTGGATGTTTTCTTAAAATATATTCTCATATACAGTCATACTCTTAACCCTAAAATAAAATCTCAGTATTTTCAATTAATTTGTATCTAAACTTTAATTGCTCGTATAAAAAGTAATAGCTACACTTATTGGATCAATGTTCTTTCTTCAGTATAATATTATTATACAACAAAAATAGGGATTGTGATTTAAATATATTATTACAGGTATTAAATTAATAACTATAGTCCTGTTTAATACGATATATTACACACTTATATTATACACACGAATTGTGTTTTATTTTAAATGATAGATTAAGGAAACATTTCTTCGTCGCGGCCGTTTATTTTTGACCATATATTTTATACACGTCACGCAAGAGAAAAAATAATATTTTCGTATATTATATGAACGAACATACTGATTTTAATTTAAACTCGTCTTTAAACTCACGCGATTCGTCTACACAAAAAAAAACCACCTATATAAACACATCCAAGTACACGAACTGCCGAGGCGATTGTCAAATTATACGTGTTATGGCTTGGTTTTATTTTACACTGTTTACCAGTTTACCACTCCAGGAACAAGGGAGGAAAAAACGCACGAAATGTATATTTCGGGTAGAAAGTAACTAATTTTAAAACGAAAAATCTCGACCAATATACCTATAGGGTACCTACTGTGTACCTACCTACTAATGTATCATATTATAGTATTTATAATGATCGACAACAATCACGGAGTAATGTATATAATATAGTATATCATAATCTAACTGTACGAGGTGTTCCAGACTCGCATCGAGAATTTTTTGATATTTTACACGTTTATATCGTTTTCAAAGTTTGATAACCTGCTGGCCTTTGTTGGTTCGGGCCATTTCAGGTGACTCTACTGGCTTCATATAAATAATATTATTATTATAAGCTCAATTGCTCAACCTCAATGTTAGTAACGTATAAATTTGAATCAAAAAAGGGTATGTTATAATAATATAGGTACTTATAAAAATATAAATGCGTGCAATGTAAAAAGGAGGTACCTATACCTTATTATTTCTATGAAATGTGACCCTTTTAGTACGTCTAGCACTACCAAAAAAATAAAAATACACAGGTAGGTATGATGTATATACCATATTATTTAATTAGACTCGATGAAATTTTCTGTTAGGCGACACGCACACAATACTGCCCTAATTTGTAGTTTGAGACCTGAAATGGTTTAACTGATTTATTATGCTATACATAACATTTTTCTGCTGTACTTCCACACAGTTCTACTATTACGTAAAAATATAACATTTTAAGCCTGTTGTGGAAATAATCCAATCGAATGTATGTATCGTAAATACAATAAATTAAAATATTTTATACTTTTATTAGTGTTAAAGCGTCGGTATCTAAATCATTGACTTGTATTTTTTTTAAATTATTATATGATTTTTTTCTGTTAGTATTTGTTGATTAAACCTACCTCAACTAAATTGTATGTAGTAGTATGTTTAGATATAATATGTTTGGTGAATAAATGAAATACCACTTGTCTTATGGTATAATCTTTTCATTAGGACCATGGATGCCGTGAAGGTATTCTGCAGGTATGTAATATTTCTGGCGGGCTTCTTAAACTACAATGTAATTAACGATTATAATACTATAAATAAATCTGATTTTTCATAAGTGGACGTCACACCCATATAATGTGTTATCTCCGTAGTCCGTTTATATAAATGTACAATACATAGCAAAAACTTTTTTGCTCTCTCTGTGTTTATAGTAGAATTACCAAAATTCCACTATAACATGGTCGAGGGAACGTCCAGTTAAATATAAGATATCCAGGGAGAATCGTTGGATCCTATAAATACCATAGCCAGAGGCAGATATGTAGATCTCAGAATCTTAAATATATTTAAATGACTAGGATTCCATTTCAGTTATAATTATCTTTCATTGCCTATTAAAAACTTACAAATAATCATACTCACAATTAATAATATGCAAACAATGTTCTACTATACAATATGTAACTGTATCGTAGTCATACGGAGTCCAGTAGTCGTAGTGTGTATTAATATATTATTGTGTCGGTCAGTAGTTGATCGTACACAGCTTGTCATACGCTTAATTTATTAATTAATGATTTATATATTTTTTGAATATAATAAAACTAGTCGATCCTACGTAATCCGTTGCTCATAAAAAATGAAAACTTTAAAAAATTGTGTTTGTTCAACTCCTTTTGTTTGTAGCTCGCTGCAGTAAGTGCAACTCACTACTCTGCCACCATGGTAGGCAATGTGCGAAAATTATTTTGATGCATGCTTGTACTGGATCTTCCCGATTGACCAATGGCAACCAATATACAAAAAAAATGATTATTTCTACTAATATTTTCAAAATTGTATGATGTATAGGAAATGCTAATTTAAACATTCAGTGAAATTTTCATGTATCTACAATTATTCGTTTTTGAATTACAACAAAATAAGGAAATAGTTACATGGTAAATCGAGTGAATATCCAATGTTGTAAAAATTTGTATTTCAAACGCTCATAAAAATTTAATTTGACTTTCTTATAGAACTTTTTTTTTGATAAAGGTAGATAATCTTATAAGGAATCTTGTATTATATTTTTAAATCTTAGATTTAAAAAGAAAAATAATTTGCTAATTTTAGTGGTTTTTCCATATTTTGTCAATTTTTGAACTTTAAATGCTTATAAAAAAAAATTGTGACTAAGGATTTTTAATTTTTTTCATCTGCCTTTGAAACAATATACTAGGAGCCTTCTATTAAATTTTCAAGCTTTCGCAACCAACAAATAAAATGTTATTGATATTTTTAGAAAAAAAACTAAAAAAAAATGGAAAATGAAAATGTCCCTAAACAGTTCAAAATAAATCAAAATATTTTGAAAATGTTATTGTGTATATAAAATGCAAATATAAACAGCCAGTAAAAATTTCATGTATATACGTTCATTTCTTTTAGAGTTACACCAAAAACCAAAATCGATTTTCTCGAAAACAGATTTTGCGTAAAAATTCCCGTTTTTCCTTAATTTTTATGTTGTTTTTCCCGGCGCTTGTGAAAACTATTGACTCCCTAAAGTACCAACTAGATTCAATTTCCTATCAGAAAAGCTACTGTTGAAGAAAATCCAAGCACTTTTACTGTTCTTAAACGTGAGGACAGACACAAAAATAAAAAAAATTGATTCTATGAATTGATTCTATGAAATCTTCTTGAAAACAACTAGGGTGTAAAAACTGTGCGTCAGCTATTAATTCTTCAACGCCCGGCCCAAATTTCACAATTTAGACCGGCCCAGGGGGATATTTCCCCCTGCCCCCCCTGGCCAGTCCGCCCCTGACATGGAACACTATCTAGTACTATCTTAAACCGTGATCTAGTACTATATAGAAATCTGAGACTTAAATCTGTAACCTTTATCTATATAATATTATTATCTAATATCTATCTCAGTGCCTCTCGAGTCTCGAGACCAGTGGAACACGAGGGTCCATACCACAGATAGTAGAAGAATGGATAGACCATGATATACTGTTCTATGATATACATGATAAACTAAGGGCCAGTTGTACCGTACAGTACAACTGGCCCTAAGTTATACCATGGGATAGGCCATGCAACCTTATCATACGGGAATTAATTGGAAAAATATTTGAAGTTATAAAAGGCAATATTTAATTTATTAATTTATATTTAATATAAAGAATTAGTGATGTTATTAATTCGGACTTTCCATGACAAAAGTTAATTTAAAAAAACAGTTATAAAAGATTTAAACTAAAATAATAAAATATTTGGGTAGATTTAGTATAAACAACGATTTATTGAGTACCTACGTAGTTTTCCAGACGTTTTAAGAGCTTGCATCATTTTCTTTATAATGCCAGCAATCACTGTGGCTGGAGCAGAACAATAATTTTCCAAACTAAAACTAATAAAAAATTACTTAAGGAACGCATGTGGACGAGTGCATTTATCTAGTACCTATAGTAATTTCAAATATAGAAAAAGAACAAACTAAACATTTAGATATTGAGAAAATAATTGACAATTTTGCCAGAGCAAAATCGAGAATTGATATTTCTTATAATAGAATACCTCAGATATTTATGTAATAATTATGTTAAATAAATTATTTATTATACAAGATTACTCTTAAATATTATATTACCTATATGTTCAAATATGGTTATAAACTTATAATACAATTTGATTTGTAGTAAAAATATAATGGTATATTATACTTTAATTGTTTTTCATGTGGGCCCTTAAATTTTCTTTTACATCAGGGCCCTCAGAGTTCAAGATCCGGCATTGGGTATTGCCTAATCATTGATTTCAAATTTTAAAAATATATACCTTTAAAATAATACTATTAATACTTAATACATAGTTATTATTTAATTAGCCTGCTGGGAGGAGCTTAACTTTAATTAGAGAATGCTTAACATCCCCAGGCAACAAGCACCTCCCTAGTAGCACCAATGAAAAAATCTATGCTTGAATTAATTTAATGATTAAGTGTCTTAAGACATTTTATTTTATTACAGCCATAAGTTTATTATTATTATAATATAATAAATAAGGTACAAATTATTTTTGAGCGAAACAGAAAGAAAATAACAAATTATATAAAATAATATTTACTACACAATAAAAGTAAATAAAAAAAAAAAAATATAATAAAATTAAGGATGACATAGACTAGTTTAATTTTCTAATAGTTAATAGGTAACACAATAAAACATAGGTACTATGTTGTTAACTTAAATAGAGCACTATTAATACGCAACACATATAAACAACAAATTGTTCACATTAAACAGCATTAGAGTTAGTGAAATCTACACTCACTAAATTGCTAATAAATAATAATACCTATATAATAAGAGCTTTATTATTTTTATTCATTTTAGAAACATATATTTTAATTTATTTTTACTTTCAAATCCATATAATTTGATGAGTTTCTGTAAGAGATAAGTATTGATTTTTAAAATAACTTATGATAACATAAACTTACGTTGATCATACTTTTATTAATACAGTGAATTGTCCACCTTTTTTACTGAAAATAAAATCCATAGTTTGTTATAATATTGTAATCAATGAAATATAAATATTATAATGTTATGGAGTCTATTTTATCAATATTGGTTGTAGCTTTATATTTAATATTATATTGATTTATATTTAGTACATCTAACATTATCAAATTCAAACTAAAATATAAAACATAATATGGAAAAAAAATTTAATTTTACATATTATTATAAATAATTGTGTTGTTACATATTGCTCGTTTTTACTTATATAAAAAAAAATAATAATGTCAGAATAAATTTCATATTCAGTACAAAATTAAATCAACGACACTTAAATCCTAATCATTAACAATAACAAATAATAGTTTAAAAAAAAATACTAAACAATCGTATAACTAATTATAATCTAAACATAAATTGTATTCAAAATAATAACAATATTGTATTAGTCTTCTTTTAATATTTTAAAATTATAAGATCTTGAAATCTAGTGATACTAGTTTAATAAAAATACCAACATAAAATTATGTCTTATTCTATAGACTATAAGTAGTAGGAAGTGATATAATACTAGTAAATATGATTCTTATGTATATAGGTAACTGAGAAAGACAAAGGATCAATAAAACAAAATAAAATTTAAAAAAATATTATTGTTAATTACATGACAAATAAAAAATCACTACACATAGTAAAATAAAGAATTTGACATTGTTTTCAATACTGTCCCAAACAGTACAATTAATATGTTTTAAAAAGTATAATATTATTTACATGCTGATTAGTCAATAATATATGATTTGATTTATAATGAAGATATCAATGGTTATGGGCCGAAAATAAAAAAAGTTTATTTTGTTTATAATAATATATTAGCTTATGATAATTTATATTCTCATACCTAACTGAAATATATTTTAGTATTTTTTTGTGATGGCAAAAACTTAAATCAATGGTTGTATTTTAATATAATATTTCAAGTTAGAAAATTGTCTATGGTTTATCACAACCTCAGTTTAGTTCATCTTTATTAAAATAAATTAATATTACCTAATGATTATTATAAATAAAAATGTTTTCCATTATAACTTGTAAAATGTTATTTCCTATTGTAAAATTTTGATTTTTTTTCATATTGGGAAATTAAAAATACATAATTAAGAAGCTGTGATTCAGATTATTGTTGGTGTTTGAGATGTTATCATATTGCTTACTTGTATGCTTTTTTGTTTTATATATATACCTAAACTTAATTTATTAGTTTAGTCAAATAATATTTAACATATTTTAATCATGAATTATGTTAAATTTTATCACAATCTAAATCTACTTATAAATAAAAAATATCCAGGGATTTGAATAAAACAGAAATATGTCTAAGATAGAATTCTTCTATGGCTCTTGTGTTATAATAACATTAAAAGTAGCACCTAGGTTTATTCTGCAAAAGAATAACAAACATTATTTAAATTTGTGCAGTAAATAATGTTATGGAAATATTGAGATAAGACTTTTATTGTTATACAACAAAAAGCCATAAAGCGACGACGATGGGACATGATGGGACACGTTTTACGTCATGACGAAGAATTGCATCATACTATAATAGAAGGTGCAATTGAAGGACGGAAACCACCAGGAAGACCAAGAAACTCGTACATATCTCAACTGAAAAATGACGCAGGGATTGATACTTACGCCGGATTAAAAAGACTTGCCGAAGATCGTGATAAGTGGAGAGCGAAGTTAAAAATATTGTAAACCAACCCAATATAGGTTGAAAAAAAAAAAACAACAAAAAATGTTTTATGAATTAAGTTAAGTTATTTTGCACCAGAAAACAGATTAACTACTTTGGTCCCATGCGATTCCGGTTTAGACACATTTCATTTAAATAGCAAACAAATTATGGATCACATTTTACTGAATTCTATACTGATCTACTAATACTGTGGTTCTCAACCAGTATTACACAGTATTGCACAATAGTAAATGATAATAGTAAATGTTGTGTGTAGACCTTTATTTACAATGTAGAAAAAAAATTCTCTACAACATGGTCTTATTATTTAAAAAAAACATTTCCTAGTCAGTACATAAATTATGTTGTTAGTAATGAAATGATTATTACACGCATTGAAACTTAAGCTAAACAATCAAGGTGATAAATATATCATGAATTAGTTGAAATATTTTTTCATAAAAAATTGTTATAGAAAACATAGTGTATAGTAGTAAAATGAATAAATGCATCATTGAAAATGTCCAATTGAAGATAATCATGTAGATGATCTACAAATAATTCAACCACAAACCCTTAAATGATTCCATTGTGTGTTGTGTGAGGGGAAAAACTTTTGAATGTCTCAATGGTCCTAAGTAAATTAAAACAGCATCTATACTCTGTTCAAAATAGGAACAGTAGTCGGTGGTGACGAGTTTTCGTCGGGCGGAGGTCAGACATATAGTCAGACTACGGTGACGCGTCAGGCGCTGCCACGGAACAAAGCCAGAACATGCGTAGAACTCGGCCGCCAACTACTGTTCTTTTTTTGAACAGAGTATAAGTACATACTATGGTCTTCTTGATCAGAATTATTTTAACAAACAAGTCTGTAATCAAAGAAAATATTTTGAGAAAAAAGTTACAGGATCCTATTAAGCACAAATTGCTTCTTCTAATGTTGCAAAATTAATTAGTCAAAAACTGAAATCCATTTCTGCTAATAGTAGTCTTAAATTTAAATGTCCAGAAATATAACTTGAAGAATTTTGGATATCAATCAAAGAAGAGTATAAAAAATATCGGAAAAAGCATTAATAGTTTTGTTGCAATTTTTAATTTAATATGTACGTGAATAGTGTTTTTCTTACTTTCAAACATTAACACCAAAGAAAGAGAAAAGCTTCACACACTAGAATGAGAAATGAGAGTAGCGCTATCATCTATTCATACTTTTAAGTTTTAACATTAAAATTAATAAACTAATAAAGCTAAATATCACATTGAATTTTAACTTTTAAAATTATGTTTTAGTTTTTAAACAGTTAAAATTTTTTTTTGTTATGTTCCATCAAAATATAATGGAAAATAAAAAATGTAGCGAACCTAAAAAGGTTGAGAATCAAAGTAATAACTAATAATAATGTATAAAGTGTGATAACACATCAAGAAAAGTATACTTCATTAGTCATTACTATTACATAAAAACTAGTATCCCAACATCAGATTAAATTCAAAGGCCATTAAAATAAATTTTCCCTGTTTCATAAAATTCAGTATAAATTTCAGGGACTCTGAATGCATTCATAATAAATTATGCCACTGATTATAACATTTTCTACACAATATTTTACATATAAATAGATATAATTTACAACTTGTTACTTTGTTCTCACCAAGATATTCACAACATTCAGTTGAATAAAGATAAGCTATAAAAACTGTAACCCGGATGTCCTCTTGCGGCTAAATATATATACACAACATGGTATGCTCCGGGTATGAAACATATGAAGCCAGCGATGAAAAACACTATTGGATGATAATCTGTGGTCGGAGTCAACTGCACAATTATAGCCACTGATAATAATACTGTGAACATACATAATAGATTAGTTTTACTCCATACTTGAAAACAATTCATGAAATCAAAATATTATCTGAATTATCAGGAATTTGATAGAGTAGTCAGGGGGTTATTCAAATCAAGAGTTTGCATATGTTTTTATATTCATATAGTTAAAACTTTATATTATTACTGTTTATTTATTTATACGTAATATCACTTTAATGTTTCTTATTTGCAGTTGAATTTATAATGTAACATTATACATTTTGTAACACATTAATATTGTTAGGTACTTTCCTGTTATACGAGACTATGGCTGTTATCGAGACTACCTCTGTTATCGTGATTACCACTCTCATTTTGTGAAACATCACAATCCGGTTATCTAAGACTACCAAAATGATATTTTCCTGTTATACGTGACTACCTTATTTTTCTTGTCTTTTTTGATATATTTTTTAATAATATGTATTGTGGGGATGGCAGGAATGAAATAAAGTAAAGATTGAAATACGAGTACATAGTAAATATTCGTAATGTATTTTACGTTGTACACGCCAAAGTGCCAAATTTGCAGCGGCGTAAGCAGGGCCGTAGCAAGAACCAGTAGCGCCCCTGGCAGAAAACCAAATTTGCGCCCCCCCCACATTCAATTTTTTTTCAAGTACCATGATCATAATTAAAAAAAAAAAAAAAAAAAAAAACGTTCTGTCGATTGTAGCACACTAGCACAAGTACATTATATTTATTTTATTATATAAATATTTTTATTATTATAAAAATTGCTCTATTATGTATTATAATTAAATAATAATAACAGACTAAAACAAAAATCCTATTATTTTATACTGAATAGTGAATATAAAATACGTCAACGCATATAGCATATAATAATATACATATTGCATGTCTAGGTATGGTCGGAGGGGCAGTGATATAAATAAATACCCTAGCGTAGTTTCCAATATTATGCGAATTCGCGACGAGAAACGTATTGCGATAACGTTAAAAATAAACGGTGGATTTTTTTTTTTTTGTAAATTATCATATTTCAGTTGAGATTGACACTCGATGAAATTGCGCCTTTCGTATAATTGCGCCCCTGGCAAATGCCCTCTTGCCAGTGCCTAGCTACGGCCCTGGGCGTAAGGAAAACAATAATAATAATACAAAATGATAAATCTACTAGTAAAGTAATAAATAATGTATGTATTGTGGAGATGGTCACATTCAAATTATATAAAAAAAAATTAAATTAAAATTAAAATTAAATACATAATAATTATTTGTAATGTACCAAATTTGCCGTGGCAAACACCAAATACAATAACTAATAATATATGTAATGATAGATATATAATAAATATAATCGCAGCTTATGGATATCGTTCAGCTATAATATCAGCTAAGATAGGTAGTCTTGGTTGGTAGTCGCGATAATAGCCGTGGTCTCATATAACAGGAAAGTATAATTTAGGTAGTCTTATATAACAGGATTGTGATGTTGTCAAAAAACAAGGTAGTCTCGTGTAACAGGAAAGTACCTATTGTTATGATTATTTGTACAAAAATATAAATTAATTATAGATATATTAAAATATATAAAAAGTTGTTTTAATTGTTATGATATTTTCACAGTTTAGTACTGGGATAGGAAATACAAAACTATTAAATATGGATTATTTTGATTCTTACTATCAAGATATTCCCATCCATACTTTAAAAGAACATAATATTTAAATAATTACCAATTCCAATGATGAATAAAATTACAGCAGCTAGTACCACACGCCAATTTTCTCGTACTTGAGGATGGTGCCAACACCAATTCTTTTGGTTAGAATGTGCTGTTGAATTGTATATCAACGAATCGCTGTCTCGAGATAATGTCTAGATGGAAATGAACAGAATTTTTAATGTAAATTATTATAAAAAATAAATAAGGAGGGAATAATATGCAATACTCACATCTTCAAATTTTTTTGTTCTTGAAATAGATTCATTTTCAATACCACCATAATTAGTCAATTTGGTTTGTCCAGGTGATTGTAAAGGTGAATTTCCTAAGCTAGACACATACACTTTTATGTCATCAATTGGTTCATCTTCAAAAGCATCGTCGATTGAGAATCTTTTACTGTAAGACATAGTTTAAGGTTTACTTTTATATTATATTACTTAATATCAATTTTGATTTAATTTCGCATATTTTCCGATATGGAACACTGGTCATTGAATAACACTGAAGGTTTATATTAAGAAACTTTCAGGTTGTATCAATAATTTATAATAAATTAATAAACATAAAAATAAATATAAATTGTTATAACCACGAATTAAATTTTAATTCGTGATTATAACTTATAAGTATTTATAATTGTTTCTCGACAGCACATCGATATTAAAGTTTAATTTGACTTGTGATTGTTTGATTACCGTTATCAATATATAAAATTATTTGATAAGACTTTAAAAATGATAACTCAAACAAAAACACCATTCTTTAATCTTTTTTACTAATAACTAATAAGAAATAATAATAAAATAACTTCTTATTAACTATTACCTAAGTGTGCTTACATTTATTTATTTTTTCGAAAATGTTATAGTTTTTAATATTTGTGTTTTTTATTTTTTTGTTTGTGTATTTTTGTTTGTTAGTAATGTGCCTCAATCAATTTGATCGTGTGTGTGGTTAAAGTTTGTTTAGGATGAAAGAAAAAATGCCGCCTTTCAAACGAAAGAAAACGACGGGAAAATCTTTTCCTGTCAAAGTGTGTACATTAGATGCTGAATTAGAATTCAATCTAGAGGTAAACTTAACATTTGGAACACCTGAGTTTGTACCATAATTTGAACTATCTATAAATATTTGTTTAGTTGAAGGCTACTGGCCGAGATCTTTTCGACTTGGTGTGCCGTACTATTGGATTACGTGAAACCTGGTATTTTGGGTTGCAGTATGAAGATTCTAAAGGATTTATTGCTTGGTTAAAATTAGATAAAAAAGGTATTCCTCAACGTGTTTGATTTTAAATAAAATATTATTAAAAATTATATTATAGTACAAGATCAAGGAATTCCTCAACAAACAACAATGCCATTTATGTTCCTTGCAAAATTTTATCCTGAAGAAGTAGCTGAAGAACTTGTTCAAGAAGTTACTCAACACTTATTTTTTTTACAAGTTAATCGTGCCATTTTAGCAATGGATATTTATTGCCCTCCAGAAGCCTCAGTTTTATTAGCGTCATATGCTGTGCAAGCAAAAGTAGAAGACTTTTTAAAACTATATTTTAAAGATTATATATTTAATTTTTTTTACTTGAATCTGTGTAGTATGGTGACTACGATGAAGGAACTTATAAACCAGGAATGCTTGCTAGTGAAGAATTATTACCTCAAAGAGTAATTGATCAATATCAAATGACAGCAGAAATGTGGGAAGAGCGAATTAAAGTTTGGTATGCTGACCATCGAGGAATGTCGAGGGATGAGGCTGAAATTGAATATTTGAAAATCGCTCAAGATTTAGATATGTATGGTGTAAATTATTTTCCCATTAGTGTGAGTTAAAATTATCTGTAAAACTGTACTAATTTTAGCTTTTACTAATTATAACCTTTTGATTTTTTAAACAATATAGAACAAGAAAGATACAGATTTGTGGTTAGGAGTTACATCTTTAGGACTTAATATTTATGAAAAAGAGAACAAATTAACTCCGAAAACAACATTCCAATGGTCTGAAATCAGACATGTTAGTTTTGATGATAAAAAATTTACTATTAAACCTGTTGATAAGACATCACCAAATTTTGTATTCTTTTCACACAAAGTTCGAATGAATAAATTGGTGAATATTAGATTAAACAACTATCAATAATAATAACAATAACACATGGTTTTTTTTAGATTTTAGACCTATGTATAGGAAATCATGATCTTTTTATGAGAAGACGGAAACCAGATTCAATGGAAGTACAACAAATGAAAACCCAGGCAAAAGAAGAAAAGTCTAGGTAACTCTTTGATAATAACAACCATATTTTGAAATATTTAGTTATAAAAAAATGTATTTCAATTATTATAAATTAGAAGGCAAATTGAACGTAATAAGTTGGCGCGTGAAAAACAATTAAGAGAAATTGCAGAAAAAGATAAATCAATTATGGAACAACGATTGTTGCAATACCAAGAAGAAATTCGCTTAGCGAATGAAGCACTAGTTAGTATTTTTAGATTTTACCTCAAAAACATAGTAAAAAAACCCAATGTTACTACTACATTTTTCAGAGACGATCTGAAGAAACCGCTGATCTTTTGGCTGAAAAGTCTCGAGTTGCAGAAGAAGAAGCTATGTTGTTAGGTAAAAAAGCAACTGAAGCTGAACATAAAATTACTCAATTTCGTTTGACTGCACTTAAAGTATGATTAGAAAAAATAGAATAGATATAATTTATTTTTACAATAAATTAGTGTATCAGACATTTATTATGTATTTTTTTCTATTTTTTATTTATAGACTGAAGAAGAGAAAGTAAGTCTTGAACGAAAAACACGGGAAGCTGAACAATTGACTGCTCGACTTGTAGATGAATCTGAAAGACGAGCAGCTGAAGCAAACACACTCAAAGAGGAGCTACTTAGAGCTCGTGTTGCTGAAAAACAAGCAAAAGAAAAATTACTGGAGTTTCTTTCTAGAAATGCATATGTTAATACTGTACGTAAAAATTGTCTATATTTTCATTTTTTGGTTCCTTTTATTACCTATTATTATTTTGTAAATTATATACTTGAATTTTTGGTCTAATTTTTAATTTAGAGTGTTTCAAGTTTGTATTCAGTGTCTAGTAGTTCAGCACTAGACCTTCCTGCTGATCTTCATGCGTTGAGATTAAATGCTAATTCACCACAACTTTCTCTTACTCATTCTAATCCACCAGCACTTGAGGATCACAATTTACCAGCATATGACTTTATTGCTGGTAATGATATGGAAGAGCTAACATTAGAAATTGAAAAAGAAAGGTTATATTAACTGTAGACTGTAGCACTAATCAGACAATAATTGTTTTTAAATATTATTGTATGTATACAGAATTCAGTATTTAGAAAAAAGCAAACACCTTCAAGATCAACTAAGAGACTTAAAATCAGAAATTGAAGTGCTCAAAGTAGATGAAAAGCAATGTGAATTGGACATGTTGCATGATGAACAAGTGCGACTTGGAGAAAACAAATACTCTACACTAAAAAAAGTAAATATTTTAAATTTTAACATTTCTTTTAAAAGTATTATTCTGGTTTCAAACTTCTCAATTTTTCTGGTATTATAAAAATGTATGTAAAAATTAATATTTTGAATTCAACCTAGCAAATCAAACTTAAAACTAAATTATATTAATTGTACAGGTAATTTCAGTTAATAAGGCTTTTTGTTTCCTATATTAAGATTAATTTATCACCTGAACTTAGATGCAACTAAGTATTTTCTTGTTTAAAGGTGCATTATGAACAGTTTTTAGCTTTTCTTCTTTGAATTTGATCTTTTTAGAAAATCAATGAATAAAAAATATAAATAGGTACATTAGAGCTGACAAATATTACTAGATGAAAAAAAAAAAAACAAAAGTTTAAAATAAACAAATTATTTGTAAATTTAATGAAAACTAATAACCTTAAGAACCTTCAAAGTTAAAGATATGTTTTTCTTTGTATTTGGACTTATATTTTAATTTTTGGAGTATTATTTTTTTTTTATTTTTATAATTTTTATTTACAATCTGTTACAATAAAATATGAACAATAAGTAAAATAGATAATTTAATGAATAAGTGGCTTGAGGAAAGGACGGATTTAAGAAGCCTTCCAGTGAAGACACTTTGTCAGCTGTTTATATACATTTAAATAAGTTAACAATTATTTATAAATAGAAAAAGATTAGGTAATTAACTAAATTAATAGGTCCCGACACCACCGCCTTTTTAGTCTTTTCCTAGGATTGTCGGGTATGTTTGCCGACGCAAGTCCTTTAATTAGGGGATTATCATGGTTTTTAACAGTTGGAGTATTTGGATTTCTTATATGAGTAGCTTCTTTCAGTTAAATAATATTTTAAACACCACAATTATATTTAAATAAATATTTCAATGTTTCAATACAGAAAACTCTTTATAGGTTGGTTTCATATGTGTGCCATAATCTATACTAAATAGTTTTGTGAAGTTCACAAATTCACTGAGCCTGCCGGCTATTGCCAACACTCAAATTTTTTAGCGGTGAGTGTCTATAGCTGACATTAGGCCAATTTCATTGAATAATTTAAAATTCAAAATATATATTATTCAATTGTATGTCCTATATGAGTTATTAAAAATACTCTATTTTCAATTGAAATATTAAATAATGCTATTTCTCAAATAATAAATTAAACTATGTTACGACTATATGTATGAATATTTTTTTATGATTTTAATTTAATATTCTGAAATTTTTTATTCTACCTGGATCAGTATCTAATAATCAGTTAATTACAAGATTTAGTTAAATATTTAATTATTAATTATTTTATACTGAGTAAATAATTGAGATATTCACTAACTAAATTTTATTGTTAAAATTTGACTATTTAATTCTTAAAGTTTCATATCAACTAATTAAATTTAAATTTAATAACAAAATTATTACTGACAATTAAGTCACTTTTATTTTTAGTTACATTGACTGAATAGAAAAAAATGATCATGAATATTCTTGTTTATTTGCATATAATAATGAACTTTATTAGAATATATTTTTTTTTTCATGATCCAAATTAGCTTACTTGTTTTGTAAATTTACCAAAAAAAAATGGTTTCATTAAATAAGATAAATAATAATAAAATAAGAGGGGGGCGGAGTGACCAAAACGGAGGTTTTAATTATATATGACTTAAGATTTAGTATTGGCATTATGATGACTATCATTTTTAATTACAAAGACTGAGCAAAAACAATTAGTGCACATTTTTACCTTTGTTTTTACATAAAGATTGACTTTATTATATCTATGTATTAATATTTTAAATAATAAACAGGTGAAGTGCGGATCAACCAAGGCTCGAGTAGCATACTTTGAGGAGTTATGACAAATCAAAATCAAAATT